GAAATAATATATATATATATATATATATATATATATATATGTAGAAATTCAGAAATTTTTTAATAATATATTATAAACGTAAGTAAATGTTCAAACATTAACATAACAAATTACAAATTATACAACAAGCGTGATCCTAATCCGATTTGATCCTAATCACGTTTAATCTAACCATCTATATAATTAATAACTTGGCTTTACGTAAGTTAAAGCAAAATTTAATATGTGACGTGAGTAAATGTTTTGTCTCGCGAAATATAAATTGATAATTATAAATTATTAATTTATTTTTATTTAAACTACATTATTTTGTATTGAAAATTTTGAAAGTTTATTTTTAATTTAAATTGTAATTTAATACAAGTATTGTTATATATTGTTATATATTTTTTTATTTACATTAGGTATTAAATTTATTATTACTCATATTATTATATTTGATGAATTACGTAGATAAAATATCTAGCATTTAAAATTTATAAATAGAATTTATAGCATAACAATTTACGTAATATTGGCATGCTGAGAAATTTATTATCGAGAAATTTATTATCTGGCTCGAATCTTATGTCATTCATTTTGAATCTTTTATGTCGTTCTCACCTGATTTAAGCACTGAGAAAAAGATTTCTTTAGATTTAGCAATTTATATTTCTGTTTGTTTGACTTGAATTTATTTAATTTAAATAACATAATTTTGTATTAAAATTTAGTTTGTTGAATTAAGAGTTTTGTTGTTTGTTAGAATATACTAAATTGTTTAATAAAAAAAAACACCATTACTTAAAGAAAATAAAATTTATTTTTGAACTAAATAATACTTTGTTTGGCTAGTTAAATATTGTTTCAATGAAGAAATTCTTTAATATTGTTAAAGCATAAATAAAGGGTGCATTATTATTTTGTAAACAATTTATTAAATAAATATTTTATTTGAAATAAAATTATTTATTATTTAAAAAATCGAACAATCGAATTTGTAGAATTAATAATTGATTTGTTTGGACTATTTAAAAAAATAAATATCTTTGAATCTAATAAAATTTATTAAATCTAAAGAAATCATTCTCTCTGTGTGGTGAGATTTAAATAAACGGTTTCGATCGTGAATAATACGAACGAATCATATGGGCCTTAGATTTTTTCTTTTCATTGAATATATATTTTTTTAATATATATCAATTATGTAGATTATAATTGTTCTTATTTTTCTATTTTTATTATTGCAACATTTTATTATTCAATTTTCTTAAATTCTTTTTATCAAATGTAATCAAGTTTCTTTATTTTAAATTTAAAAGACTAATTACGTATGCTATGAAAACGCAGTATTAAATTAGCTTTCAAAATTTCATGTAACTTTTATAAGATTTTATTACACATTTCATATTTTATTAATGGCCCTCGCGACCATGATTATATGACCGTCGTGCACGATGTCGAATAAAGAATCTACCGGTATAATTACCCGGTAATTGAAGGAGTATATCTTTTTCTTATCTCTGGCTGTATGTGGCTAGAAGTTCTGGCTATATGGCCAAGTCAACGATGGAGGAACATAGCCAGGAACAAGGTAGGTCCAATCTGGCCTAAAGAATCACACAAGGTTAATTTATATATATATATATATATATATATATATATATATATATATATATAA